ACAGTGCCGCGATCGCCTCTTTATCGTCTATTTGAACCTTACATCCTGTTGCTTATATATTAACTCGACATTCTCCCCAGCCGAAAAAAAAGAAAAAAAAATTCATAATCACATCACGTCTTTTCTTACGAGTAACACCTATCCATTACTTAAATATTCCAGGGTGGAAAACTAACTATAAGTTAAACGTTCCGGTTTCTTTGAAATTCGTCCACTTCTGGTTTTAATTTCTTGTAGTTCCTCATTCACCAAAGGTACACTGTTTTCACTGGTGGGTACTCTTACCTTTTCGCATACCATTCGTACTTCGTTCTCACTATTACAATCAGCATTCAATTCTAGTGGATAAAGACGTTGAACTGGTAGCGTAATTTCACCTGATGCTGTAATTAGTCGCGCTACGCGTACATAGCCATCTTTTCCGAGGAATAATTGCTTGATCTTAGCTAAAGGCCAATCTAAACGTTTTGCATTATCATTGTCTATTAGCACTATATCACCAACTTTTAAATTCTTGAAATTTTCGCCCTTACATTTCTGATGTTTCAGCGCGCCTAGGTATTCATTTCGAAACCTTTGTCCTAAATCATGCTTTATCTTTTGTCTATATGAAAAACGCTTATTTAACTTAACTTTTTCTATTTTTTCTAAATCTAATACACCAATTTCTCTCACTTCATGTAAAAACATTGACGGAGTCAAAGGCATTATCTCTTCCTGACTATCTGACAGGAAAGTTATCGGTCGCGAGTTTATGACAGCCTCGCAATCTATTAACGTCGTCATCATTTCCTCGAAACTAAGGCACGTTTTCTTAAGTGTGCGTCTCAACAATCTTTTAAGCACACCAATGAGACGTTCCCAAAATCCTCCCCACCAAGGAGCTGATGGTGGATTAAATTTCCACTCTATCTGTTGTATTGCGACTGTCTTCGCGATCTTCTCATAATCTAATGTACTTAATTGATTATTTAAACCAACAAAGTTGGTACCATTATCGCTGTAAATGACGCTCGGTCTACCTCGTCTAGATATATGCCTTTGCAAAGCCATTAAAAATGTGGCGACATTCAATGAACTTACCAATTCTAAGTGAACTGCCCTATAAACAGCGCACGTAAAAAGACATATCCACCTCTTTTGTCCGCCTTTTAAATAAATCGGCCCCGCAAAATCTACTCCTATTACCTCAAATATCAACGCATCCCTTACTCTATCGAGCGGTAACGGCGCGGTATGTGCACTAACTTGTCTAGTTTCATGTCTGCAACAATTCACGCAATTTTTTATTACTTTCCTAACGCTTTTTCGCTCTCCTAAAATCCAATACTTTTCTCTTAGTGCGTTCATCGTTATTACTACTCCGGCATGATTAAGCTCTATATGTTTTTCTCTAATTAATAAATGCACCAAATAGTCATTGTTTGGCAAAATAATAGGACACCTAAAATTGAAATTGCCTTCTCTATACAAAAGCTTGGATTTTGATCTGATAAGTCCTTGATCATCCATGAAAGGAGCATAAGCTTTAATGCGTTCATCATCTAAAGTATCAAAATGTTTGCCTTGTATCATCTTCATTAACTTTATATTTGCATTGCAATACTCATCTGCTGTCAAAAAATTTTCTTTTTTCTTCATTGTCTTACTTTTACAATTAAAAATAAATCTCATAATCCACCCCACGACACAAACTATCTTAGAATAACTGGAAAACTTATAAAACAAACTATCTTTCTCAACTGTAATATCTTTAGTTTTAACGCTTAACAATGTGGTGTTCTGTACTAGAGTCGACTTCTTTAACTCAGAATTGACCTCTGTTTCGTCAATACTTAAAACTTGTGCAGCAGGCCACTTTTCTTTATTTTCCTTAAGCCAATCTGGACCTTCCCACCACTTCGAAGTTAATAACTGATGAACCGTACAGCCTCTTGACGGTAAATCAGCAGGGTTCCGATGGCCAGGTATATGCCTCCACTGCCTGTAATCTGTCAATTGCCTAATTTCTTTGACTCTATTTGAGACGAAAACACTCCAATTATTCTCCCGCTGAATCCATGTAACTACTGTTGACGAATCTGTCCAATAATAAAGTTTTACATTTTTCATATCTAATGACTCTATGACTTGTGCTGCTAAATTGCCCCAATCGTTGCAGCTAATAATTCCAGTCGCGGTATACTGATGCGTGTATTCGTCTTACTTTTGACTGCAGGAGCGACTCGTGTTATTGCTTGAACAAAATATACTTGTACGTCATCTTCTCGCTGAATTCTAATAAAAATGACTGTAGCATAAGCTAATTCACTCGCGTCAACAAATACGTGCAAGCTGATCTCATCTGTCTCGTCTACCATTCCGATCATGCATCTAGGTATCTTAATTTGGTTTATATTCCTCAGTTCGTTAATCCATTGCATAAAACGTTTCTGTATATCGTCACTTACTTCCTCGTCCCAAGATAACTTGGCCGCCCAAGCTTCCTGCAATAAAATCTTAGGTCCGAGTGCTATTGGACAAACAAAACCGAGGGGATCAAAAATACGGTGGGCTACCGATAGAATATCTCTTTTTGTCAATTTCTCAAAAACTAATTTCTCTAGATTAGCTATGTTTAGGGATAACGTGTCTAGCTCTTTGTCCCACAACAATCCGAGCACATTGCTAAAGCCCTTGGCACCGCCGTCCTTCGTATATTCCCATCCGCGTAAATCAAATTTGCCTGACTCCATCACGGTTTTTGCATTGTTCATGAAAACATTCAATTCATCCACACTATTCACACTCGTCACGCAATTATCAACATAAAAACTTCTTTTAAGTTTTTTCGTATTATTATAAACTATCTCCGTAATCGAGTTCCCGCTAAACGAATTCAATACGCTCGATAAATGCAAATTGATTATTGCTCCTAGAATAAACGGACTACTACAAACACCAAATACCACTCTACAATGTCTATAAACTATAACTTTTCCTTCGTCGTCATACCAAAAAAATCTGAGAAAATCACGCTCCGCTGGATGTATACTTATCTGTACAAAAGCTCTTCTTATATCTGCAATTACACCCAGACATCCTTCCCTAAAACGTAATAGTATGGCGGCAACTAATTCGATCAAGTTAGGACCCTTTTCCAGGCAGCTGTTGAGTGACGGCAACCCTTTTCCTTCCACCGACGCATTGTAAATAGGCCTCGTAGTGGTCGTCGAATTTTCCTTGAAGATCGGTCGATGTGGTATATAATTACCCTGACGAGACTCTTGTTCCGGCGGGACACGTTCTATAATACCTTCCTTGAGCCAGTCCTTAAAAACACCATCGTAATCTTCATACCTGCCGGCTGCCCGAAGTTTCTTTGTCATTGTTTCTAGCTGTCGAAGAGCTAGCATCTTATTATCCTTAAATTCTGGATAGCACTCTAACCATGGCAACCTCACTTCGTAACGACCCTCGGTATTTTTTGTAACTGCGTCTATAAACATTTTTTCCACGTGTTCGTTGTGTTGCTTTTGTGTCTTACATTCGATAGGATCCCTAATCCCCAACACGTCCAGGTCCCAAAGATCCTTAATATCCGCTTCTTTGGCGTACATGGAAATAGTGGTCGCGGCCAAATTTATGTCTCCTTTTATTGTCGGTACTTTACCCATAAGTGTCCATCCTAAACGTGTTTCCATTGCAGTTAAGCCGCTGTCTAACACGTGTATCCTACCAGTAAACAATTTTCCTGCCACGTCCGCGCCAATGAGAATAGCTACCGTTTTCTCTTCACTGCAAACATCTGTTAACTTAACATTAATCTCGTCCAATTCCTGTAGCCACACTCCTTTGGTTACACTCGGTACGTCTGCACAAATCAGATCCTCTTCGAGCGCTTGAAAATTGCACCTGTATGTGTCATCCAGACTGCCGACGCGAATCAAATACCTGTTGTGCGTGGTGATGTTCGTTTTCTCGCCTCCGAAAAGTAAATGCACTAAATCTTGCTTCCCCACTGGTTCATATTTTAATCGTTCAGCCATTTCTTTTATAATATATGAATTTTGCGATCCAGTGTCTATCACCGCGCGCACAATCACCTCACTCGAGTCATTGCGTAATTTAACTTTTAGTGTTTGCATAAAAGTACTCGGCACATTACACGATATAGCTAAACTGCATTCTTTCTGTATATTAACGGCACTTAAAGAATTTTGCGGTTTCTCACTTTGCGTATCACTCCGACTTTCTTCTCTGCACATAATGTCAACGTGGCGACGAGCGCACTTCGTGCATTTGAGATACACCCGACAAAATCTCCTATTGTGACCAATTTTTAAACAATTGAAACACGCACGCTTTCTCTTCACAACCTCTTGTCTCTCTGCAAGGGACATAGTCTTTGCCTGAGTACATTTCGCACTGTCGTGATCACTCTTTTGACAAAATATGCAGACAACCTCTCTGCCCTTGTTAATTAAACTACGCGCACTTGGTATGTCTTTTCCTGTAGTCTGTGGCTTGGTTTTCTTAGAACGTTCTGTTTCACTTTGATCTCTAAGATTAAACCCTTTCACGGCCATTGAAATACGCAACTCGTTTTGTACTTCTAACTCTAAAAATTTAATCAACTTTGTTAACCGTGTTTTTGAAGCATCTGAGGAACTCACGGACTCATTAAAGTCATTGGTGCTATTCGATCGTTGCCATACTCTAAGCAATTCTTCTGGCAATGATGATTCCACCAACGGGAAAAGCATTGCTGCACACTTATCAGTCGCTACACCGAGTGTTTCTAATGCTCTCAAATATGACTCTATTTTATCATATAAACTCGAAAGCTGTACTTCTTTCTTCGACATGGCATTTTGAAGTACTAATTACAAAAGCTCTCGCACGTACACTTCGATTTGGAGATCATCGCGACCGAATCTCTTCTTTAAGCCTTCGATTACCTTTTCATAGTTTTCTCCCGTCGGCGGATAACTCTTTACTAGCTCAGCAGCGCGTGAATCGGGCACCATTGCTTGAATCAGATATTGGAATTTATCCTCTCTCTCCATATTAGTGTTCTCATGTATCTTTTTAAATAAACTCCAAAACTGAAGCCACTCGCGTACATTACCACTGAACTTAACTAATTCGATTTTCGGCAAATTAAATGTCTTTCTCACTTCTGATGAAGTCGCACTCGTACTAGTGCTTGCATCCGCCTGAATTGCACTTTGAGTTCTATTATTTCTGGTAGCAATGCGACTGTCAAATTTATGCTTTGCCAGTAAGAACTTACTTTTATATGCGTCGTGTTCATCATACTCCTTTTGAATTGTGTCTTCTGTTACCTCGCCCTTAAACAGTTCGCCTATAATTTTCTCCGCAATAGTTTCCAAATCTTTATGCTTATCAGCCACCAAAGTGTAAGCCACCGTTAACTCCGCAGTTCCTGCTGTAATACTGTCCAACAGAGCATTCAAAGTGTTCAACACTTTTGTAAACGCTATACGTAAACTTGTCCTACTCCTCTTTAACTGCTCCA